AAAATAACCGAGAAAAGTCCATGGGAAGAACGCCAGCAAAGATAAGCCTCTTTCAAGTAGACCTCGCTTTTCCCTGATCCTCTCCTCCCTGCATGACCTAGGATGGATAGGGGATGGGCCTGGATCCTCCTCTGACTGCTCAGCCAGCCTCTGCCCTTCCCCAGCCTCCTCCACCACCTCTGGAGCCACACTCCCACTCCCTGTTGGCTGTTCCTCCTCTTCCTCAGAGTCAGACTCCACCAGGGGCATGACACTCTAGCTTGCTTTTCATTGTTCATTAGTATGATACCTCATGTTCCCTTCCACCCAAGCACTGTACAGCGCTCAGTTACCTCCACGCTCAGGTACGTTAATAAAATTTGATTCTACCCTGACACTTCCCAGTGGTCAAGAAAACGCCATCCCTGTTTTGATAGATTCTGGGTCAACCTGTGACTTCATAAGCCTAGCCACATTTCAAAAACTTAAGATACCTACAGTTTCCCTGAAGTCTCCATTGCCAGTGATAACTACATGTAGTCCTTGACTTATGACCATAATGGAGCCCAAAATTTAAGTTGCTAAATGAAACATTTGTTAAGTGAGTTTTGTCCCATTTTACAACCTTTCTCACCACATTTGTTAAGTGAATCACTGCAGTTCTTAAATTAGTAACATGGTCGTTAAGTGAATCTGGCTTACTCACTGACTTTGCTTGTCAGAAGTTTGCAAAAGGGGATCACATGACTCTGGGACACTGCAACCATCATAAACGTGAGTCAGTTATCAAGCATCCGAATGTGAATCATGTGGGATGCTGCAACTGTCGTAAGTGTGAAAAATGGTCATAAGTCACTTTTTTCAGTGCTGTTGTAACTTTGAATGGTCACTAAATGAACCATTGTAAGTCGAGGACTATCGGTATTGAATGCCAAATTTTAAAAGCAGGCCCTATTACTCATGCCAGAATGCCTTTGAAGCTAACAATAAATCAGCATTCTGAAGAGTTAACTCTCTTTGTAGCAGAACACATCGATCTTCCACTAGTGCTGGGAACCGCTTGGTTACAACACCATGACCCCACGATTAAGTGGAAAAAACAATTTATTGCCTTTGAAAATCGTGAATGCCTTTATCACTGCGATCATCCCTCCAAAGTCCCTCACCAGCCCCACCCCCCTTCACAGAGAGATTCTCAATCTGCCAAGTAAATATGCAGACTTCACTGATGTTTTTGGGGAGGGGGAAGCTTCAGCCCTCCCTCTACACAGACTACAATCATCTTCCCTCCCACCAGTTCAATACCTGTTAAATCCTTATTCTCTTTCATTATGAGTGCTTTCATTACAGAGTTGTATGACAATTCTTCTGGCTTCAAGAAACTTTGTTATAGAAATCTACTTACAATGGTATATTTCATTTTAAAGGTACTTGCTGTACGTTCCCTGATGTTTCAATAAAATATTATTTGGGGGTGCAATATTTTACCAAAATGTGACAATATCATAGATATTTATGATAAAACTTCCTACTGCAGGAGAAAAGAAAAACAATATTTGGTTCCTGTTCCCATTTTACACTTAATGTGCTTCAAAATCCACCCAGGGGCAGGAAAGGAAGTCATCTATCATCAACAGAAGACTGTTAGAATGATTCTATAACAAAAAGCAATAATGTAGAGCCCATAAATATTGTTAAAAAAACCACAGCAAAAGCATGACAATAGTGAATTATATGGGAGGAAGAAAACTGGGATATTAGACTTTGATGCATTACCTCCTGGCCATTTAAATGATTTTATCCTTCAATGCCACATCTAAAGTCAAGTCTCTCTGGAATCAGGCTCAATTCTTGGAGACTACATGACCATGTCCATATTGTTTTAATGGTAACTGTTGTATATAGACATTTGCATACTCGTAATACTACGTTCCGATTGGACAATCACTACCGCCTAGCGATTGGTGGTTAACAACATATTATGATTGGCTGCCTAAAGGGCGGGAGGTTTAAAATGATGCCATTGGTTGCGAGCCGCGAGCAGCCGCTATAAAAGAGGCTGCCGTGGCTCGAGTTTAGTTGATGTCAAACAGATGGCATGGCCGGACCTGAACCGGATGCTGAGAGCCCATTACGCGCCTGTTGTTTCCAATCTTATTCGAAGACATGAATTTTATAAACGGGATCAATGAGAAGGTGAAAGTATCGGGGATTTCGTAGCAGCACTAAGGGACAATGGAGGAGCATGCGAATTTTTCAACATCGATGAAGCCATGAGAGACCGCGTGGTCCTCGGATTGAGAGACACTACCCTCCAGAGCAAACTACTAAATTGACCCAACATCACCATAAATGAAGCCATCGCTGAGGCAACCGCAGCTGAGGCAGCAAAAAAATCTGCGGCGAAAATGAAGCAAATGAATACGGCCAAAAGCCCAAGCCTTCTGGCACGCATGGCATAGGTTCGCCATCACGGCTATAGTCCTAAGATTTCCTGGTGATCTCTAATCCAAGTACTAACTAGATCTGACCCCACCCTTTTGGGGTCGGGGGGAGGGTTAAGCTCAGTCAAGGTTGGGTAGGGATTCTGGCATGCAAACAATTACTTGTTACTAAACATTATGTATCTGTTCTATAAGAAATAGCCTATCCAAACACAATTTTATTTTCTAATTTCCACCCATTTTACCTGCATATCCAATCTATCTTAAATACGCCTCCCAGCATTTTTGCATTCATTCCTGCAGGTAGCACCCAATGTATGGGAGACCCTCCATGATGAGATTCAGAAGCAAGCCTTGCAAATCCTGTAAGAATTTAAAAACATTGTGATGAGACCAGTTATCTAAATAACTTTTGATTTCTGAATGCAAATATTTATTTTACTTACCTTGGAATTTTCCACTCTCTCTTACAGAAAATATCAAGATCACACTTCTTGCTGATATGAAGGCAGCATTGAGCTTTTTCTCATTGACTGGAAGGGTTGACCAAACACCCTATGGAGAGATGTGCAGATAATTTACAAACCAAAAACTATCTGATGCGTCATAGGAGTGGACTCCAACATACCTTAGCTTTGGCAAGTGATACATTTTCATGGTTGTTACTTTTTATAAGAAAAAATTGTGCATCTCGGAGAATATATTTAAGTTTGCTAGTTTGGTCTGGAAGGAAAACAAAACAAAATAGATAATTGTATTGGTAAACTTTCCTTGCCAAGGAAATATAAATATTTGTAAGATTTGGGGTACAAAGTCTAGTTGCTATAATGGCAAAACTAGCCTCTCATGGGTTCATATGCAGTTTCATCCTGTAATTTCCTTCTTAATAAAAAAAAGCTCCTATGGTCCAAACAGAAAATCTGTGCTCTTGAAATGAGTGAATGGCTCAATCCCACCAAATTCAGACTTTCATACCATGCAGTGCCAAACTTTAAAAGCAAAATAAGCTATTTAAGGTAAAAACCAATGCAACATTAATAATGTTCTGGAAAATTTATTTATCATAGCCAACATATAGCCTTGACCAGACAAATCATTTTCATGAAGTTTGTCCATCAGAAAGAACACTTAGATTGCTTGTTTGTTTGCTACTTCAGTAATGAAATATTTTTCCCATTAAAAACCCAGTGCAAATAATTTGAATTATCCACTAGTAATCATTTCATCATACATTGGAACTTTATGTTATTTACCATAAATTGACAAAGTCAATGCAACAGCTTGCAATAGATGCATGTATTAAAAACTTCAAATTTAAATTATACCTTTTTGGACAGCACAAACAGAAGATGATAATTTCTCATGCTTCTTTTCGGAACCTGTATTTAGCCAAAGCACATTTGTTCAGATCTAGCCTTACTAGAAATACAATACAAATTCTACAATCATTTCACATACTGTTTTCATTCATGACAAATTATTCCTCCTGATGTGCACATAGCCACACCCACACAAAAAGAAAGCTGCTAAATGAGCATGAGGATTTAAATTTTTTGGGTTGTTTCTTTTTGGGTTTGATTTGTTAGGCCAGTTTTCTATAGAGAAAACTAGTCAATGAATCATCATCTTCCAAGTTTTAAGAAGTGAAAATTCCATTTAAGCAACAAAATAGAATTAACATAAGAAAGGCCACTTTATCAAATTATCAAATTTTTCAGTTAGATTTTCACCCATTATCTCTAAATAGGTCCTGTTTCTCTATAGCTTCCTTTGTAACTTCTTTTCCTTTCCTTCTTCCCTCTCTTCTTCTCCCTCCCCTTTTTACCCCCTTGTCTCTCTACTTCTATTTCTCTCTTCTGTATTCCCCTTTTCTGTTGCTTTCCAGTATTATACTTATTTTTCGAATTATTTTTCTTTTCTTTGGTTGTTTTTTTAAATCTTAAATTCTCCATTCTCTTCCCCCCCTTTCCTTTTTCTTCCCCACATAAAATTGCTTGTTCATTAAAGATGGCTTCTTCTTTGTCCCAGTCTTCTTGTTTTGCAGACGTTTCTTGTTGTTTCTCATAGTTCCAAAACTCCATTTCTAAGAATTGAAAAACAAAGCCAAAAGAACCCTTCCCTTCTTGTGCATCTTCTTTGTACTTTTTAAGTTCCATTTTCAATTCATCCAGAAGTGGTGCCATTGTATAAATTTTTAAACAACCACCCGATTAATTTTAGTCATTTAAATGTAATAACCAAGAATCCAAAGATCACCAAATAATCCAAATACATGCAAGCTGTTTCTTTTTGCTCTTTTTTTTCACTTTCTCTTCCTGGGGTTACTATTTAGTTGCAAAGTTTCAGTTAAAATGTATCTTTTAGAAGTCTTGTTGAAGTTTTACTGTAGATTCTTTTTAATTCCAGGCAGTCTCCTCCCTCTTCCAGATCCTGCCCTTATTTTTTTCTTTCCCTTCCTGCTTATGAAAAAAAAAAAAAAATTAGTGTCCAGAAATCTTTATTATCCCTTTGGCATTTTGTTTTATTTTCAGCTTAATTGCCTATTGATGTCAAAGCGGATTTTTTCGATTTCTTATTTAAGTCTTTTAGTTGTCAGTATAGGGAAGGAGAGAGAAGAGAAAAAAAAGCCAAACCTTTCCCTTTTCACTTTCCTTCACTGCTTCCGACTCTTCTTTGGGAGCGATGTTATTTTTTTGTAAGTTTAAATTCCAGGGTACCTTAGTTGTTGCTTTCACAATTTAACCCGGTCAGCCAAAACTTTCCCTTCTTATCTTCCTCCTGCACATTCTTTTCCGGTCGAGTTCTTCTTTGTGGTGGCCATTTCTGACCACCGCTGCAACCACCTTCGGGAAAGGGAGTAATGGCCAGCTGAGGAGGAGAGATGCGGCTCTCCTCGACCCTGCTGGTGGTCTCCCCCCTCTTCACCACCTCTATGGGGTGGCTTAGCCCCGAAACCAGCCGGCTCAGGGCGCTCCAGCGGCGAGCCCAGACTGAAACCACGCACGATCGCGGATTTCTGTCTGTCGCTGAAGAGACTTCAAACCGGAAACCACTGGCCCACTCTTTTGAGCTTTAGGAGTCTCTCTCGGAGCGGTATGTGGAGGCTTACTCCAGTTGGGGCCACCCCTCCGTCTGTTTCTGGCCAGATCAATTTCCACAGCAGCTGCCAACACATACCAGCGCTGAAGATTTCTAGGAGCCCCTCTGGAGATACAGCTTTCATAGACATTCTCCTTCAGCCCATCTTTGTAAGCGTCCATCAGGACCTCCTGGGACCATCCTCGCATGTGGCACGCCAACTGTTGAAATTCCTGGGTGTACTCAGCTACTGACCTTCGCCCCTGGTTTATGATTTTCATCCTAATTCTTGCCTTACATTCAGCAAGGGGATCATCAACCCGAGTGTGTAGGGCTGCCATAAACATGTCATAATCCCTCAGCTGAGGGACATCATCATCATCATGAAGGGTGACCATCTATTGGGCTGCAGTCCCTTCTAGGGTTTTAGTGACACACCTCACTTTGGCTGCTTCTGAGGCAAAATCATCCCCATATTCCTCCATATGATTCCAAACTTGGGCTAAGAAGAAACCCGACTCCTTGGAATCCCCTCCATATTTTACTTCCAGCAGAGGAACTTTTGGAATTCGGCACCTCCACGATGCTGCCTCTCCCACTGGTGGGGGGGGGGGGGTAGGCTGTAGCAGCCACTGGCATTCCTGCAGCCTGCACTGGCCTCAGCTGGGCTATGGGAAACACTTCTGGGGCTGCAGAGGCTTCTGCCCCCCTTATTGCTTCACCAGTCTCTTCTCTAGCTCTCCGATTCTCTAGAGCTTCATGCAATAAATGCAAAGCTTGGGTCAGCAGGAGGTCTTCTTTGTCTTCCTCCTGCCAGGTAGCTTCTCCTCGCTGGTGTCTGGCAGCCGTCACCCCAGCGGGGAGCTCCTCCAGTATTTCCATCTGTCTTACTCCCAAAGACCAATTGGGACAAACCACCAGCTTCTCCTCAATATGCAATGCAGACAGCAGCTCGGCTTCCCCTTGACTGCAAAGGAGCTATGAAGGGATAGATCCAACAGATGCCAAATCTTCTTGATCACTGCCTTGGTTAGACATTATTTCTTCAAATCCCACGGCAGAGGTTAATCTCTGGGTGGGCTGGTAAAGAAAGATCTTGCTTTATGTCAGCTGTGCCTCCATTCAAAATCCAAGAAGAAATCCTTAGACTCCATTAAAATAGAGAAAAGTACTTTTACTGGTTTTGAAATGATAGCAACAAAAGAAAAGCAAGATCTGAGGCAAATAGGTGCGGAAATTACATATTGAAAGTTATCCCAAGTTCCCTCCCCCAGGAGTCCAGACTGGTCATCCAATCTGAGATGTGTATAATGTCATGTGGGGTACATCTTCAGGTAGTTTCTCACTCATCTGGTATGCCAAGACGGTTGACCTTAGTAGAGTTTATGTAGTTGCGCAGTAAGCAGGAAAGCATCCCCTCCTTTTTAGTTCACACAGGAACGTCTTCGCACTCCAGCAATCTTCCTCCCCAAATACCAAATTACCCCTCCCCCTGTTTCTATGGCAGCCAACAAGAATCAAGCAGCAAAAGATGTCAGGAAAACTTCTTGGAGGCTGATGGCTACAAATTCCGCATCAGAAATATTGAACACTCAGAACAAGAGTGAATGGTAGGTGTTTATTTCACCTTCCCACTGTGAAAAGTATTTAGATCTTTTCCCTCCAAAGTGAAATTAAAGCTTGATATATTCAAGCAACACTGAAATAACTGAGATTAAACACTGAAAAACACAACCAGATTACTTGTCATATGTGATTATTCCGATCACATTGTTTATACAAAATAAGAACTAGTAAATGCATGTACAGAAAAAAAAACTAGTCATAAGTACCACTGTTCAGCACTACCGTAACTTCAAGCAGTCACTGAATGAGTAGTCGTTAGCTGAGTACTACATATATGGCTAATAGACTGACTCAACCTCATTGATTCAGGAATAGAATGTTTGAGAAAACATTTAATTCTCTGTTCTCTTTGGGACTATGCTAATTTTCCCCTCACAATTTATCAATCTGGAAGTAAATCCTCCAAACTGGAAGTAGTTCTAGATGACCTAGACATGGTGTTACAAAACTACACAAACCTGACTTTAGGGCCAGACACCACCACCCCCGCCACCCACAGGTTATCTTGAACTACTTCAGTATTACTGATTTAGTAATTACCGACAACATATATTTATATATTTCCTACCTGATATATCTGAGCCTGAACCAGTTTTGACTGACCCATCAGTAAAGGATGCAGATCCAGAATCAGAATCACTAGCTTCACTTCGCGTATCATAATCATTTCCCTCCTTCTGCTCTCTTTCATCTCGATCATACTCTTCTTCCTCATCATCTCCATCTTCTACTTCCTCTTCTTCCTCTCCATCATCTTCCTCTTCATCTTCCTCATCTTCCTCCTCCATTCCTTCCTCCTCCTCTTCCTCTTCTTCATTTTCAGTATTTCCTGGATCAGAGGAACCACTACTACCTGTTTCACGGTCTGAACCATAGTCCTCAGAATTTTTTTCTTCTTTTGAAGAGTGGCTCGACTTGTTTGGCCATCTATCCACATCATGCCTTAGTCTCTGTTTATAGAACACAATCACCAATCAATGCCTATTTTAAGATAAAGAGCTCTAAGCACTTGCTTTAAAGACTTATTTGATGAGACTGCAATGTATTATTTATTCAGTTTAAAAAACAAATGTCTCTTTAAACACAGTTGAGAACAGAATAAAAATTACCCTGTTTCTCAGCTTCTAAGTTCTCAGCTTCTAAGGCTTCTCAGTTTCTAAGGCCCAGCCTTATTTTCTTTTGACTCCCAAAAAAACAGCTAGGCTGTCCTTTCGGGGGTGACTTAATTCCCCCTCCCCTGCGCACCCTCGCCTAGAGTGCCCCATGGGCAGGCATGCCTCGCCACCAGCCGCTCCTAACGACCGATCATGGCGGAGCGTGGAGAGCTCCCTACCCCCGCCAAGTGCCTTTGCTACAGACCCGGGAATGGTGCTGGGTGCAGGACGGGTCAGTGGGAGGGCGTTGTTGTGGATGTTGGCCTCGGTGGCAGTGGGGCACTTTGCGTTGTGGGACCTTCATCGGCCACCGCTGCCGCTTCCTCCGCAGCCATCGCTTTCCCTTCTGCCCTCACTGCGGCTTATGCTGCGTTCGGAGTGCTGCATTGGGCAAGATGCAGAGGCCAGAGTCCCTGCTGGACATCGCGGCGCGACAGTAGCGGAGAAGTAGCTCTTCCAGCAGGTGGAGGAATGGTTTGAGAGCATTCCTCTGCTGGCAGCATTTCAGCAGCTTCTCGGGTTGGGGAGCCGCCTCCATAGCTTCCACGGTTCCCGCCGGCAGTGGCGCCCCTCTCGCCAGCGCCATCTCCAACAACAGTGGCAGCAGTGGCAGGACAGATCCCGCTGCCGACAAGAGGATCTGGTCATGGTCTCGTCACCTGTACGGTCGGGCACTCTCCTCTTCCTCCAGCCGCCTGAACCCCACCCACCCCGTAGAAGTATGAATGAATGAATAAATCAGCAGGAGAATCCTCTGGGAAGCTTGGCAGGGAAAGAAGGAGGGAGGGAGGAAGGAAGGGAGAGAGGGATTTGCCAGGAGAAATCCAGGAGGTGGATTTCCATCCTATTTCTGTCCTTCAAGGAGATGAAGGTGGGGAGTGCATTTAAGGGGGTGCTAACCGTCTGTAGGATTATTCCCTTTCTCTTATGTTTAGATTGGAAGGATTGGAAGGTTTGCCTCTGCTCGAAGGGGGAAAAGGTCCATTGGGGGGGGGGTTGGGCGGCTGGAGCAAGAGGAGAGCTCCCGACTGTACAGGTGACGAGACCCTGACCCAAAGCTCTGGGGCGGGAAGCAAAGCGAGGCATGTTGGGGGGAGGAGAGAAACGATGGCAACACCCTCCCGCAGCCGCTTCCACCCACCGAAGCCCATATGACTCACTGACTTGCAGGACGCAGCTGCCATCAAGCAAAGCGATGCCCCTGTGGGAGGGCAGGTGGTTCTCGTCGGCAGTGGGATCTGTCCCACCGCTGCTGCTGCTGTTGTTGGAGACGGCACTGGTGAGAGAGGCCCCACCACCGGTGGGAACCGTGGAAGCTACAGAGGTGGCTCCCCTGCCCGAGAAGCGGCTGAAACGCTGGTGGTGGAGCAATGCGCTCGAACTGTTCCTCCACCCGCTGGAAGGGCCACTTCTCTGCTACCGCCGCACCGCGATGTCCAGCAGGGACTCCGGCCTCTGCATCTTGCCCAATGGCAGCACTCTGAATGTGGCATAAGCTGCGGCGAGGGCAGAAGGGAAAGCAGCAGCGGCGGAGGAAGTGGCAGCAGTGGCTGACAAAGGTCCCACGATGCAAAGTGCCCTGCCGCTGCCAAGGCCGACATCCATGCTGCCGCCGCCCACCTGCTGACCCGTCCTGCAGCCAGCACCATACCCGGGTCTGCAGCAAAGGTGCTTGGCGGGGGTAGGGAGCTCTCCACGCTCCGCCATGATCGGCCATTAGGAGCAGCTGGTGGCAAGGCGCGGCTGCCTGTGGGCCGCTCCTAACGGCAAGTTCCCCCTGCCCTTGCCTCCCATTTCGCATGTTTTAAATAGGCCCAAATTTCAGGGGAGGAGCTTAATTTCACCTCATGCCTAGAAAACATGCTGGCCCTTCCTATGGGGGGGGGGGGCATATTGTTGGAGAAACATGGTAAAAGCCAAATATTGGTACTACACTGTGTGCAGAATTATTAGGCAAATGAGTATTTTGACCATATCAACATTTTTATACATATTTCCCACCTCCAAGCTGTATAAACTTGAATGCCTAGTGAATATAAGCATATCAGGTTATGTGTATTTGTGTAATGAGGGAGGGTGTGGCCTAAGGAGATCAACACCCTATATCAAAGTGTGCATAATTATTAGGCAGCTTCTTTTCCTCAGGCAAAATGGGCCAAAAAAGAGATTTAACTGATTCCGAAAAGTCAAAAATTGTAAAAAGTCTTTCAGAGTGATGCAGCACACTTGAAATTGCTAAGATATTGGGGTGTGATCACAGAACCATCAAACGTTTTGTTGCAAATAATCAACAGGGTTGCAAGAAATGTGTTGAAAAAAAAGATGCACATTAACTGCCAAAGATTTGAGAAGAATCAAATGTGAAGCTACCAGGAACCCATTATCCTCCAGTGCTGTCATATTCCAGAACTGCAACCTACCTGGAGTGCCCAGAAGCACAAGGTGTTCAGTGCTCAGAGACATGGCCAAGGTAAGGAAGGCTGAAACTCAACCACCACTGAACAAGACACATAAGTTGAAACAGCAAGACTGGGCCAAGAAATATCTGAAGACAGATTTTTCAAAGGTTTTATGGACTGATGAGATGAGAGCAGGGGTAGGATTCTACCTGTTCGGACCGGCAGTTCGGAGAATTGGCAAATCATGCCCCTGGCTGGCTCCACTCCTTTCCGCCCCTCTCCTCGCCAGTCAGTATCATGCATGCGTGACATCATGCGCATGCCCAACATCGCTGACTGCATTCTCCCCGGCCCAGTCACTCCTTAAGGTGTTTCTTTTTTCCTTCCTTCCCGATGATCAGCTGTTCTAATGATCAGCTGTGCTGGGATCCCCCTCGCCATCTTACTGCTTCTCCCAGGAGGTTTCCCTGAGGCCCAGGAGGCAAAAAGGGGCGGGGTGGTGGTGTGTGTAGGGTTTTTTTTCCTTCCTGGGCCCCAGGGAAGCTTCCTGGGAGCAAAAACGCTCCCCCAGGAGACTCCAAAATGGAGTGTGGGGGGTGCTGCAAAAAAAAAAAAAAAGAAGCCACGGCCACCCAGGCACATGGCCACGCCCACCTAGGCACGCCCAAAGAACTGGTTGTTAAAAAAATTGAATCCCACCGCTGGATGAGAGTGACTCTTGACAGACCAGATGGATGGGCTGGATCAGGAACAGGCACAGAGCTCCACTTTAACTCAGAGGCCAGCAAGGTGGAGGTGGTGTACAGGTATGGGCTGGTATTTGGGTTGAAGATGGACTCAAAATCAACTCCCAAACCTACTGCCAGTTTTTAGAAGACACTTTCTTCAAGCAGTGGTACAGGAAAAAGTTTGCATCTTTCAAGAAGACCATGATTTTTATGCAGGACAATGCTCCATCGCAAGCATTGAAGTACTCCACTGCGTGGCTAGCCAGTAAAGGCCTTAAAGATGAAACAATAATGACACGGTCCCCTTCCTCACCTGACCTAAACCCTATTGAGAACTTGTGGGCCCTTCTTAAATGGGAGATTTACAGTGAAGGAAAATAATACACCTCTCTGAACAGTGTCTGGGAGGCTGTGGTTGCTGCTGCACAAAAACTGTCAGACTCCATGAATGGAAGACTTATGACTGTTATCGAAAAGAAGAGTGGCTATACAGGTGATCCCCCAGAAACAGGGGTTCCTTTAGAGCAGGGGTGTCAAACTCAATTTCATTGAGGGCCGCATCAGGGTTGTGTTTGACCTCGGGGGGGCGGGGTGGGTGTGGCTGAGGTGGGTGTGGCCAGCATGACATCACTTGTGTTGGAGGTGTTGCAGGCTCCATTTTAGGCTGAGACTGCCTCCTGCAACCCTCTGCCAGTGAAAACAGAGCTACTCTTCTGGGTTCCGGCACGAAGCCCAGCTAGTTGGTCTTCACGCATGCAGGAGCACCAGAAACCAGAAGAGCAGCTCCCTGGTACATGTGCGGGAGCACCGGAAACCAGAAGCTTAGGTTCCTGGCGCGCGCATGTGCGCTGGCCACCTGGTCTTCCGGTTTCTAATGTGCATGCACATGCGAAGACCAGCCGGCCACTGCATGTATGTGCGCCAGGGAGCTGCTGTTCCAGTTTCTGATGCTCCCACATGCGTGAAGACCAGCTGGCCGGGCTTCACGCCGGAACCCAGAAGAGTAACAGGCAACAGCTCACGTGCCCTGAGAGATGGCTCTGCGTGCCACTTCCAGCAAACATGGCATAGGTTCGCCATCACAGGACTAGATGATCTCAAGGTCCCTTCCATCTCTTTTACTGTTGCAAGCCAACAGTAAATCCCTCCCCCATCTCCCTCTGGGTGCCTGGCTGGAGACTGTTAAGCTAATTAGCAGCAAGTTGTTTTTTTTAAGCAACTGCAATAGGAGTGTTATGTAAATCCCCCACAGCAGCCCATTTTGGATTTTGCCTGGAGAGGCTTGTGCTGATCAGCACAGTGTTTTTTTAAAAGAGGTTTCAAATCTAATTTGCCTCCAGAAGTTGGTGCCCCATCAATTGAGGCTTTTAAGAAGAGACTGGACAGGCATTTATCAGAAATACTCTTGTGGAAGCAGTGGGTTAGACTAGATGACCTCAAGGTCCCTTCCATATCTGTTACTACTGCAAGCCAAGAGTTCTGTAAATTCCCAGCTACCTCTGTGCCTGGCTGGTGACAGGTGTTTTTTTTAAAAGCAACTGCAATCTGAGAGTTCTGTAAATTACCATCACATCCCCACCTCTGGGCAGCTGGTCTGAAGACGCTTGAGCTAATTAGCAGCAAGTGGGTTTTTAAAAAAAACTGCAAACTGAGAGCTCTGTGAGTCTGCTTGGAGGCAATTTAGTTCCTACTTCGGCTGTACCAGAAACAGCTGATCAGTGGCAGAAACAGCTGATTGGCAGCCAGGCGGGAAGTAAGTTAGATCTTCATTCATTTAATGAGCCATTTGATTCAATTAATGAATTTGATTTTAAAAAAAATTAAATTGAGTCTGATTCATTGACTAATTTTTTGACTTAGGAACCTAATGGGCAGGCTCCATTAGGATTGTACCTCGAGGACTACTTTGAAATGTCAGAAATGTTTATTTGTACATTTTGAGTTCTTTATTATCCTCACAACAGATGCAAACAAATGAATGAGATGGGCAAATTTTCATTTTTTCATTTAGTTGCATAATAATAGTTACCCAATAATTGTGCACACATAGATATTCTCTTAATAAAGCCAAAACCTCACTTTTACTTTCTTAAATATTCAGGTTTGAGGTTTATCAACATTTTAGATTGACTGAGAGCACTGTAGTTGTTCAATAATAAAATTAATCCTCCAAAATACAACTTGCCTAATAATTGTGCACATGGTGTACTTTAAACCAGTGGTCGCCAACCAGTGGGCCGCGAGAAAATTTTGGTGGGCCGCAGAGAAATCTCACCCCCAAAGCACCCCCCCAAAAAACAATTAATCCAGGCTGTGCAGAAACACAAGGCTACACCACCCACATGGCCCGCGGGAACCCTCCCTGCCCACTCATTCCTTACCTGGCAAATTTGCCTGCTAAATTGCTATTTTTCCGACCATCAGCTGTTCTGCTGTGCCGGGAGATTTAGATTAGCTAGGAAGCAGGAAATGGTTGGATTTCTTGCTTTCTAGCTAGTCTTTAGATCAGTCCCTTAGGACTGAAGGTTCTATTTATTCAGTGCAGACTCACGGCAAGCAAACTTTATGTGACAGACTGAGCTAGCCAATGGCAGATAGATAGATCACTGAATGATTCTGTGAGCAACTCAATCTGCCTGCTTGCTTTGCCTGATTTGGGGTAAAAATTGCTCTTTTTATATTAAAAATTCAATATTTACATACATGGTGTGTTGTGAGTTAATTTTGTGAGGTTGCTTGCTAGCAAATTTTATGTGACAGACTGAGCTAGCCAATGGCAGATTGATCACTGAATGATTCTGTGAGCAACTCAATCTGCCTGCCTGCTTTGCCTGATTTTGGGTAAAAGTTGCTCTTTTTTTTATAAAAAAATCAATATTTATATAAATATTTATAATATTTACATACAAGCCATGCCCAGCCAGTCACATGACCACCAAGCCACACCCACAAATTAGGCCACACCCACAGAACCGGTTAGTGGTCCCTGGGATTTAAAATTATGAGATTGGTGGTCCCTGAGGTCCAAAAGGTTGGCGACCCCTGCTTTAAACTGAGCAAGGAAGGTAAACATCTGAAATGCCTAAGGAATTAATAATATAAAGCAACATTACTTACTACAGAAGCATCTGGTGTAGAAGACTTAGCCCTTCTGTCAACATCCCTTTTCCTCATACATGCCTTTTCAGGCTGTCCCTCATAGGGATCACTGGAGGAGCTGCTTGTCATACGTATCTTTCTATCACCATCTGGAGGTTTACTTCTGTCAGACCTTCGATAGCCCTCACTCTTGTATTCCAATACTGGCTTTCCTTTTGTGCTCCCAATTCTTTTGTTGTTGCCAATAGAACTTGGAAGTTTGGGTAACATTTGCCTTGAGGAATGTACAGATGGTTTTTGTTTTTTAATTTCAGCTACTTCCATCCCCCCATTTTTCCTTTTAGATCCTTAAAAAAAAGTTATTAGTAGTTACTTAAATGTTAAAAAGCTAGTTGCAAATACTTTCAGAAAATGTTAGAAGGCATGTGTACCTAAGGTATGATAAAGTTAATGTTGATTTTAGAAACCATTTTATTAGCCATTTTGAGAATTTGGAATAAATATGAAATGAGACTATGCCCAAAAGTACCTTTATGGCTTCTCCCCAAAGCATATTAGAGAAAGAAAATGAGGGTCAGACAAAAATGGTTAAAGTATGCAGATTTATTGGATTACTCCACATATGATATTAAATTAAAATCCAGAGTACACTTGGCATTAGAACAGTTTTTGTATTTGCAAATCACAGGGAGATTTAAAGCTGATAAAGTATATGATTCCAAACATGTTAAAACTATCTTTGAAACGGAACTGTGTACAAATGATGAACAACTTATGGCTAAAATGTATAAACATTTGTTAAAATTGGAAACAGAAGATGAACTAGTTAAAAACTGTATGATAACCAGGGCAAAAAAATCTTCATGAATGAAGGCAAATATACATGTTCCAGGATAATGTTGCAGGATCCAATCTGGGTCGGTCACCAGGACCAGAGGTTTTGTCTTTTGGACTTGTGCTGGAGTCCATTCTCAGGGAACTTCTCTATCACCAGAATGTGTGCTTTGGGTTATTCTATGCATAGCATTTATGTGGTGCCTACTGGATTATCCCCAGATAAATTGACTAAAATGTATAAAGGATCCCCAAATAGTTGCTGGAAATGTTACACTCAAATAGAAACCATTATCACCTTTGGTGGACTTGCAAAAAAGCTAAAAAACATTGGATGGAAATTAGTAATGTAATTTAAAAAAAACCTGAAAATATACAATTTAGACTAGAAACTTTTTGTTAGAGTTTAGGGATAAAACATACCATTTCACACTTCTATCCCCATTCTCTTTTTGTTCTTTATTGTATTTTTTGATTTTAGTTAATGGTTTTTTGTGTATGCTTTGTAAAATATAATAAAATTGACAAAGAAAATGTTTTCTCATTTCGCATAGGGCAAAGCATAAAAAGACATTTAATCTAAATTTTTTATATCCATAATTCTGTAGCTATTAACTTCTGGCCAGTTGATGCGAAATCCTAGGATCTCTATTTAAAGCTTAAGGAACTAATGTATTATTTTGAAAATTACTGGATAAAGATGAAAAATACAGGAAATGTTCTAAAACAGAATGTTCTTTTTTTCCCATTTCACAACAGGGGAACATTTCCTACATGCCTGCCTTCAAAGACTTTAAATTATTAGCTATATTTGTTTACTAAGGAACAGTAATTACTGTGTTTCCCTGAAAATAAGACCCGGTCTTTTATTATTATTTTTTGCTCCAAAAGTCGCACTAAGCCTTATTTTTGGGGAAACACGGTATCGGGGTGATCAGTCTGGCTGGGCGCCCCACCCACAGCACAAGAGGCAGTGAGTGCAAGGGTGTCTGGCAGCAGCCACAGCCCGCTGTCCCCTTGGCCGGTGCGCTCTGGGGCTGTGCAGCCCATGCAGCATAGGTGAGTCCGAGTGCTGCGACCACTGGGCCAGCCCTCCAAGCAGCAGGCAGAGGCACGGGGGGGAGGCACGCGATTCAGCATGCAGACAAAGACAGACAGCAGGATGGAGTGAGCAGCTGGCCACGGGAGGCTTGTCCCGCATGTGTGGCAGAGCTGGAGGACAACGGATGGCAGGGGCCGAGCGCACAGGGGCCATGGCATGGCACCACCTTGGCGACAGCACCAGCTGTGGGTGGAGGCACAGGGCTGCCCACTCCATGTCCAGCAGCTGCTGCAAGCACATTTCAGGGAGCCATGAACTCATCTGGTTCTAGGTCCCTTCCAAGTCACTGACAGGGAAGCCTGGTGCAATTTAAAGCTTTTAATTTACAAATAGAAAACCTGGTTACAAATACTACTTCTTCTCTTCTTTCTTGGCCTCACTTTTTTCCTTCTGCTTTTCCTTTCCTCTCCTTATTCTCCTCCTTCTCCTACCCCTCCTTCTCAGCATCTCTGTTGGCAATCTTGTTGTTGATGAGGTTTTGCAGCACCACCACCAAACGGATCAGGTAAGGCAGGGGGCGGGGTGGGGGTGGTGCCATGTCGCAGCCCGTGTGCTCAACCCCTGCCATCCAAAGTCCTCCAGCTCTGCCACACATGTGGGAAGAGCCTCCTGCGGCTACCCGCCCACTCTGTCCCACCATCTGTCTTCGCTTGCCTGCTTGCATGCCTCCCCCCTGCGCCTCTGCCTCCACCTGCTGCTTGGAAGGGCTGTCCTGGTGGTTGCAGCACTGGGACTCACCTGCTGGACAGTCGTCCCCCACGCGCTGGCCGCCTATGCTGTCCACAAATGCCCAGAGCTGACGATCTTAACCAGGACTTATTTTTTGGGTAGGACTTATATTAGGAGCACCCTAAAAATCATGCTAGGGCTTATTTTCTGGTTGGGTCTTATTTTCGGGAAAACATGGTACTTACAATATTATTATATTTTACATATTATTTTGCCGAATGTCAGCCTTCAAGATCTTCTACTATTGCTTTGCATCTTTTGGCTGCCATAAGTAACGGAGGGAGGAGGGGGTAAAGTCTGGGAAGCGAGCTGGAGGTGTTACATTCTAGTGTTGTATAAAATGAGGAGGGGGGAGTATAAATTCTTGCTTAGGTTTCTATTTCTCACTTAGCTTTCTTTTCTCTGCGCAGCTGCAAACCTGTATCAAAATATGCCAAGGTCAACGGACAGAGGCCTCATCACCACCTGAAGATGCCCACATGATCATATTCACAACTTTTAATTGGAAGAATCATTTGAACTATTGGGGGTGGGAACATTGCCATCACTTTGTATATGTGATTTGCGCGCCTAATTTCTCAGATTCAGAATTCTATTGTTGCTACCACTTCATTTTCAGTAAAAGATATCTTTTCTCTAATCTAAGGAGTCTAAGTATTTCTTTCTTGAATTTTGAATGGAGCACTACCTGACATTATTCTGAATCTCACTCTACCAGCCCACTCGGAGAAAATATCCAGTTTCTTCCAAAGGGGTCTGAACATCATGTCATCTCCAACTAGTGACCAGGAGGACCTGGGCACCATTGGAGGGAAAGATTCCTTGCTGTTACCGGAGGTACGGGAAGCTGAATTGTTAGCGGAGCTCAATCTGGAAGAGATCCCAGCTGTGAAGCCCAGATGGTCATTGGGAGTTGGCTGGAAGGATCCGGAGGAGGCTCCCCCCCTGGAATCACCACCACCCGACAGCGTGGAAGAGAGGAGCCATGGCAAGAGAGGGAAAAGAGAGATCTTTTACTGGACCAAGCCAGGAAACTCCTCAATGAGGCGTTTGGACAACCTCACGCTGCACAAAGGTATGAGGGAGAAGGGGGAGCAGCCCCAGCCAGGAGAAGCCGAGCAGCCCCCACCCCCATAAATCAACCTGAGCCAGCGCAACAGCCAGCAGCAGCCCTGGGGGCCCCAGCGGGAGGTGAAATTCCTAGAAGGTGTAGAGCTCCCAAGTTGCCTCCGTTAGAAGTGAAATATGGGGGAAATCCCAAAGACTTGGGGTTTTTCCTAGCACAAGTTTGGAGCTATATGGAAGAATACGGGGAGGAATTCGCCTCAGAAGCAGCCAAAGTGAGATGTGTTACCAGGGCTCTGGAGGGAATAGCTGCAGAGTGGATGGTGACTTTGCATAATGATAACGCCCCCCAGCTGCTGAATTATAACCTGTTCATGACTACGCTGCGGGCAAGATTTGAGGACCCACTGGTGGAGCAAAAGGCCAGGATCAGGATGAAGACCATAAATCAGTGGCCGATTACACCCAGGAGTTTAGACAGCTGGCGTGTCATATCCGAGGCTGGTCCCAGGGAGCCCTGATAGAAGCGTTTAAAGATGGATTAAATGAAGACGTATACCAGAGATACATTGCCAGAAGGGACCCCAATGACTTGCAGATGTTGTACTTGCTGGCAGAAGAGGTGGAAATTGATCTAACCCGAAGCAGACGCCGGGGGGGCTCTGGGTGGAGCAAGCTTTCCCTCCCACGTCTTCAAGAGGCCCCGAAGCCCCAGAAGGGAGGGGTGGCAGCAAGACCCAAACCCACTGCCTGCTTCCGATGTGGGAAGGAAGGTCACCGGGCTGCGGACTGCAGGGCCAAGTTGGATCCAAAGGGGGCGCCAAAAGGAGGGAGGAAGCCTGAAAACCCCCCAGCGAAGCCTCGCGAAACTGCGCTAAAGATGAGGGAGGTTGTAGAGGTTGCCCCTCCGGAAGGAGAGGAGCTGGGACCTCCGACCTCCTCTGAAGAGAGTGAATCTGACTCGGAAGACGACTTCCTGGTAAGTCCAAACAAGGGCCCTATGACCATTCCAGTGAAATTGAGGGTACCCACATCAGGGGCCGAAGGGGAGATGCTAGCCTTGCTAGACTCTGGGTGCATGAGGTGTGTAATCAACACGAGAGTAGTAGAGGAAATGGGCTTAAAACTAAAACCTTTAAAAACACCCATAGCCTTTTACCAATTGGATGGATCAGTGGCGGGGGGCTGCCCTGCACGCTTCATAATGGAACCCATAGAAATGACCATGGGAGAGCATAAAGAAACCCTGTGTTTTATTGTGGCCCCTGGGATGGAGCAACCACTAATACTGGGATTACCATGGCTCCGGAAGTGGAACCCCCACGTTAACTGGAGGAAGGAGTCGTTGCGCATACGTACCAACCAGCGACCGGAAAGGGAGGGGCGATCTCAGCTGAAGCTTCAGAATCTGGTTGAGTTAGCCTCCACAGGTACCAAGAACTTGAAGGGGGAGGAGAAAATTCCGAAGGAATATTGGGATTTAAAGGAAGTGTTCAGTGAAAAGGCCTCAGATGAGCTCCCCCCTCATCGGTCAACAGATTGTAGTATTGAAATTTTACCTGGGGTGAAGCTCCCGAAACCGAAGTTATATTCGATGACACCACGGGAATTAGAAGAGCTGAGATTCTTTATCGATAAAAATTTGGAACGTGGTTTCATCCAACCTGCTAGACCCCAGGTAGCGGCCCCAGTGCTGTTCCATGAAAAGAAAGATGGCTCCAAGCACTTGGTGGTGGACTATAGAAATTTGAACGCTATTTCCGTGGAAAATGTGTACCCCCTTCCCCTGATGAAGGACATGCTAGCCCACCTGGCCAAGGGAAAGATTTTCACGAAGCTGGACTTGAGAGAAGCGTACTACCGAGTTCGAATTAAGGAAGGAGATGAGTGGAAAACCGCTTTTAACTGCCCGATGGGTTGTTTCCAATTCAACGTTCTCCTATTTGGCCTACAGGGGGCCCCAGCCGTACTCATGCAGATGATCAATCAGGTGTTACATGAACATTTATACAAGGGGGTTTTGGTTTACCTTGATGACATCCTTATCTACACAGAAACTTGGGATGAACATGTGAAACTAGTGCGGTCAGTTCTACAGAAACTGCGAGCCGCTAAGTTGTATGCTAAACTGCCCAAATGTGAGTTCCATCAAGAGAAAATCGACTATTTGGGGTATCGCATCTCACATGAGGGCATAGAAATGGATCCAGGGAAGGTGCGTGCCATGTTGGAATGCCCCCCCCCCCCCCCCACGCACCAGAAAACAACTTCAAAGTTTCTTGGGATTCGCCAATTTTTACCGACAATTTATCCCAGCTTTTGCTAAGATAGCAATGCCTATCACAAATCTCTTTAAAACTAAAGGGGAGGCGAAGCCAAGGCCCAGCAAGCCGTTGGAGTGGTCCATGGAGTGCCAAGCAGCCTTTGAAAAGCTGAAACGACTGTTTGCTGCAGAACCAGTGCTGAAGCACCCGGACATGGATGCTCCTTTCGTGATCCAAGCCGATGCGAGTGATGTGGCTGTTGGAGCGGTATTACTTCAAATCAATGAGAAAGGAACTTTACAACCCTGTGCCTATACCTCCCGTAAACTATCTGAAACCGAAAGAAGGTGGGCCGTCTGGGAAAAAGAAGCTTTTGCAGTTCGCTGGGCTCTATTGACTTGGAGACATTTCTTGGAAGGAGCGAAACGTTTGAGGTATGGACTGATCATAAGAATTTGGAGGCCCTAAAAATGCCTCGGAAGCTGTCCCCTAAACAAGTTCGCTGGGCCCAGTACTTTAAGCGATTTAACTTCTCATTGAAGTACATTTCAGGGGGGAGGAATTTCATGGCAGATGCTTTATCTAGACTGCCTCAATATAATAGTGTTCGCCAGGAAGTGATACGGCCGATTGTCTCAACCAAACAGCCAGCCACCCCAGTGGTCACTAGAGCTCAAAAGAAGAGACAAGAAGTGGATTTATCGAATGATTTGACTGCACAATTAAAAGAAGCCCTAAAACTTGATGATTGGTTCCTGGCTCATTCGAATAACTGTACAGTTAGAGATGGTTTGGCCTGGATGGGAACAAAGTTGTATGTACCAGAGACACTGAGAAGCCAAATATTACAACAAGCTCATGATTCTAAAGCGGCTGGCCATTTTGGATTCGTGAAAACTTTACACCTGGTTAAGCGGTAATTCTGGTGGCCTACGTTGAAGAAGGACATTGAAACTTATGTGGCTAGCTGCTCAATTTGCGCATCAGCAAAGAGACCTCCTGGTAAGCCAGCAGGGCTGTTAAAAAAAGTGGCTAGACCAACGGCTCCGTGGAAGGAAATCTCTATGGACTTTGTAGTGGAATTACCCGAAAGCACCGGAAACACGGTTATTTGGGTGGTAACCGATTTGTTTTCCAAACAAGTACACTTCATACCTTGTTCCAAGATTCCATCTGCAAAAACGTTGGCTAAACTATTTATACTACATATCTATAGATTACATGGTGTTCCTGAACGTATAATTTCTGACAGAGGGGTTCAATTTACCTCAAACCTTTGGAGGGAGTTCCTGAAGTTAATAGGCTCTGCCCAAGGCTTAAGCTCTGCCCACCCCCCCCAAACCAATGGGGCCTGTGAGAGAACTAACGCGCGCCTAATTTCTCAGATTCAGAATTCTATTGTTTCTACCACTTCATTTTCAGTAAAAGATATCTTTTCTCTAATCTAAGGAGTCTAAGTATTTCTTTCTTGAATTTTGAATGGAGCACTACCTGACAGTGTCTGAATAACTGTTCAGAACATTTAAATGTATGAAGAATACAATCTTCATCTTCAATATTCTATAATAATCTTTTAACACTGGGGTCCCCAACCACTGGGTCATGGACCAGTACCGGTTCATGGTCTGTTAGGAACCAGGCTGCACAGCTGGAGGTGAGCAGCGGGCAAACGAGCACACCTGCTCCCCAGTGTTAGCATCACCACCTCAGCTCCACCTCAAATCATCAGATTCTCAATCATTAGATTCTCATAGGAGTGCAAACCCTACTGAAAACTGCACGAGATGGATTTAGGTTGCACACTCCTGATGAGAATCTAATGTCTGATGATCCCAGGTAGATTTGAGGCAGTGACACTAGCACTGGGGAGCGGCTGCAAATACATCCTGAAACCATCCTTCCTCCCTCACCACCCCTGTCCACAAAATCCGTCCCTATACCAAAAAGGTTGGGGACCACTGTTTTAGCACACACTGGAGTGTTAAGATAACATACTCTAAATAGGCCAAGCTGTGTTTGAAAAGATAGGAGTAATGGGAAGAGAGAATATTTCATAGGGAATTCACAACACAAATTGCTTTTAGGAAATGAAAAAAAAGAAAAAAAATGTTCAGCAAGTATTGCCACCAGTATACCACTCTAAGGCCTTGACTATATGCAAAGCCTTTTATACAATGGTAAATTATCCAACAGGTGTCATATCAAGTTTGCCTCCAAAATCCAGTTACCCAGCTTTCTGGAGTCAGAGGTAAGTTGTAATGTAGCATACCCTTCTTTTCACTTTTATCTTGCTCACTCTCAGGGTTATACAAGTCATCATCATGATCAGGTGCATCAGTCGAGATATCATCAAGAACATTCAATTCACCATCTATGAAGACATAAAAAATTATATTTATATACAGTATGATAAAGTATAATTTTAAAAAAATTAATAGAAAGCTACGACAGGCCATTATCCTACACATTTTTATTAGTACCATGCCTTGTCCATTCCATTCAAGTTTATATAGAATCAAAGTGGAAACTGAGTTCTTTCTTTAAATAACTACTGTGTTTCCCTGAAAATAAGACACGGTCTTATTTTTTTTTAGCTCCAAAAGTCGCATTAGGCCTTATTTTGGGGAAAATATGGCATCAGTGTGATCACGCCCCATCCCCTGCATGCGCACAAGAGGCAGCGAGCATGTGGAGGCTGATGGTGTCTGGCAGCTGCTGCAGCCTGCTGGCCCCTTGGATGACGCACTCTGGAGCTGCGCAACCCGTGCAGCGCAGGTGAGTCTGACAGCTGTGACCGCCAGGCCGGCCCTCCATGCAGCAGGTGGAGGCAGAAGCACGGGGGGAGGCAGGCAAACGGTCCCGCCAGACGCACTGCCCTGTCGTGGCCATGGGAAGCAAAGACAGACGGTGGGATGGAGTGGGTGGGCAGCCATGGGAGCGTCATCCCATGTGTATTGCAGAGCTGGAGGATGACTTCCTAAGCTATGTCTACTGGAGCAGATAAAATTGCAATCACAAACTCTCTGGATTACTAAATTGACAAATTATATAAAGAGCTGTGGTCTCCCTGCCCCCTGTGTAACAGGGGTACAAAAAAAAAAAGAGTTGCCCAAAATAACATAGCTACACTTAGTAAGGCTGGTAGCCTGAAATGGCTGAGCAAATATAAACACATCTTCCTTTTTTTCCAATTTTTTTGTTTTATTTATATAACATGTAACAATTCAATTTCAATCATTGTGCTGACTGGGTACAATTATTTTTAGGAAATCATAATCACAATGTTTACAATAATATTCATCCACCATGATATTAATCCTATAACAATATTTTACTTGTCTATGTCATGCCCCTGATGGAGTCTGACTCTGAGGAAGAGGAGGAACAGCCAACAGGGAGTGGGAGTGTGGCTCCAGAGGTGGTGGAGGAGGCTGGGGAAGGGCAGAGGCCGGCTGAGCAGTCAGAGGAGGATCCAGGCCCATCCACTATCCATCCTAGGTCACGCAGGGAGGAGAGGATCAGGGAAAAGCGAGGTCTACTCAAGAGGAGATCCTCCTCGTGGCTTGCAGCTGGGAGCTATGTATATGTTTGCAACTGCGCAGTTAGAATTGCTGAAGTCAATTTAGTGTTCACCTTGAAAGAAGCTTATCTTTGCTGGCGTTCTTCCCATGGACTTTTCTCGGTTATTTTCCTGGAGTTTATAATTAGTTATCTTGGCTTGCTTCGGAACTCTCATCAATGCAGTTTGTTTTGGTTTTCTGTTTGCCTCATTATTTACTTTTGTGACTTTAAACTGTGCCTAATAAAACAGTGAAGTTAAGTTGAAGGCTTTACCAGACTTTAATATATGTTTTGGGTTTTGGGTTATTTTGAGAGACTACAGGTCATCACATTTTGACTTCAGCCACCCCTTCAACTTTTTTTTGCTTTTTGTGGTGTGACCATGGATCAGCTCAGAGCAGAGATTGCCCAGTTAACCCAGCAAGTGGCTCTTTTGACTGCACAGGTGGCACAAATGCAAGCTGCCCAGCCACGCCGAAAATGCCCAGTGGCAGTGCCAAATAAATTTGATGGTTCGCTGGCCCAATTTCCAGCATTTTTTGGGCAGTGCCAGCTTTACATGAGCCTTCGGCCTGAGGACTTTCCCACTGACCAGGAAAAGGTGGGTTTTTTGACTAGTTTGTCAGGATCTGCAGCACGTTGGGCGACGTCTCTGCTGACCCAGCCCAACCAGGTGTTGGACAATTACGCCAAGTTTTGCCGTCAGTTTCAGGCCATGTTTGAGGACCCTGTTCGAAGCCAAACAGCAAACAGACATTTGAGAGAGTTGAAGCAGGGGCGTGGCTCACTCATGGATTATATTGCTAGTTTTCGGGTGGTTGCTCAGGATGTACAATGGAATGAGGCAGCACTATTAGACCAGTTCCAAGAGGGTTTGTAGTCGGAGCTCCTGGATGAGTTGGCGCACACTGAATACCCTCACACCCTTCAGGAGCTCATGCATTTGTGTCTTCGTATTGATGCTAGACTTCAGCAGTGACGGGTGCGACGACGGACAGAGACCGTATCTGTTTCCAGCAAGATGGCACCCTTCGTGGAAGTGCCTTTGGAGGAACCCATGCAATTGGGGGCTGGCCTCCCTCGCCTGACTCAAGTAAAAAAGAATAGACATCGTTGTGATGGTTTATGTCTCTATTGTGGCAATCAAGGCCATTTTGCGGCCAAGTGTCCTGTTAAGACATCCACAGCAGCAACACCTGCGGTGGCGGGAAGCGAGCATCGCTCAGCCTAAGGAGGTCTGTAGGTTGGGGTGTAAAGTCCATAGACCCACCATCTTCACCAACCTTGCCACCCTCGCCACCTTTGACATCTTCAACATCTCCACAATTGTTATTGGTGAAGCATCTTGTGCTGAAAGCAACTGTGTTCGTGCCTGGTGTGGGAGCGGTGGAGATCCAAGCCGTGGTCGACTCAGGGGCCACGGCCAATTTCATGGATGCTCATTTTGTCAAGCAGTGGTTCATTCCTCAGCAACAGGTATCCCCACCAGTAATGGTGGAGACAATTGATGGTCGGCCCCTTCGTTTGGGACCTGTGCTTGCTGCAACCAAACTCCTTTGCATGCGTATTGGGAAGCATGTGGAGGAAACCGTGTTTTACGTTGCCGCAGTGCCTCATTTTCTGATGGTGCTGGGTTTGGAGTGGCTACAGGCCTATGATCCACAGATTGTCTGGTCTTCTGGAGCTGTGCAGTTCCTTGATAGGAAGTGTGCCAACCATTGCTTGCGCTCCTGTGCAGGGAGTGTGGCTACGCCCGTGGACCTGGATCTACCTGTGGAGTTGGTGGACTTTGCTGATGTGTTTGGGGAGAAGGAGGCGGATCAGTTGCCTCTGCATCGGGCGTATGACTGTCCAATCGACTTGTTGCCCGATGCAAAATTGCTGGTGGGTCGGATATATTCCCTGTCAGAACCGGAGTTGGCCACGTTGCAGGATTTTATTGACAAGAACCTCCAGAAAGGGTTTATCCGGCCTTCTACCTCCCCATTGGCTGCACCAGTGCTTTTTGTAAAAAAAAAAATCAGGGGAGCTACGTTTGTGTTGTGATTACCGCAAATTGAATGCAATCACAGTGAGGAATTGGTACCCGCTTTCCCTCATCCCTGAACTGATTGAGCGGCTTCGTCAAGCTAAGATCTTTATGAAGTTGGATTTGCATGGGGCCTACAATCTGGTTCGCATTCGTGCAGGGGACGAGTGGAAAACAGCTTTCCGGACGAGGTACGGGCATTTTGAGTATACCGTGATGCCTTTTGGATTAACCAATGCCCCAGCTGTGTTCATGCATTTCATGCACGATGTTTTCCGTGATTTGTTGGATCAATTCATGGTCATTTATTTAGATGACATTTTAATTTACTCAGACTCCCTGCAGGAACATTGGCAACATATGCGGCTGGTGTTGCAACGTTTGCGTGATAACCACCTGTTTGTTAAACGTGAGAAGTGTCAGTTTGTACAAACCACGACTGACTTCTTGGGACATCCTATTTCACCTGCTGGGGTGGAAATGGACCCGGAAAAAATTCAATCGTTGCAGGAGTGGGAACCTCCACAGCGGGTTAAGGATGTGCAACGACTGTTGGGGTTTGCGAACTACTACCACACATTTATTCCCTGCTTTGCTGCCTTGACCACTCCCCTTTCTAATCTGCTCAAGAAGGGGGAGAAGTTCCATTGGGGTGCTGAGGAGCAGGCAGCTTTCGAGGTGTTGCAAGTCACCTTTGCTTCCGAGCCTATCCTCAAATACCCTGATCCAGGCCAGCCATTTGTGGTGGAAACAGATGCTTCCGATGTGGCTGTTGGTGCAGTGCTCCTCCAGGCCTATGCTCCCACAGGCACCTTGTTCCTGTGCGCTTATTATTCCCAGAATTTGTTGGCTCCAGAGCGCAACTATATGATTTGGGACAAGGAGCTATTGGCAGTTAAGGTCGCTTTTGAGACATGGCGGCACCACCTGGAAACGTGCCGTAAATTGTACCCACCGATCTGATACCATGCGGTCTGGTAGCCCTTCATTGAAGGCCACATCAGGGTTGTGTTTGACCTTGGGGGCCCTGGGGGTGGGGGGGTCATGGCCAGGGTGGGCGTGGCTGAGGTGGGCATGGCCAGCTGAACGTCACTTGTTGAGGTGTTTTTGGCCAGGATGGCCTCCTGCAGCTCTCTGCCAGTGAAAACGGAGCTCAGGAGGGCTGCACATGGCCTGCCTGGGCTCAATTTTCACTGGCAGAGGGCTGCAGGAGGCCGTCACAGTAAAAAATGAAGCTCAGGGGGGCCGTGCAGAGGCACTGCGGGGCAGTCCTTTGCTGTTTCCAGGGCAGCCCCACAGGCCAGATCTAAGCACCTCATGGGCCGGATCCAGCCAGCGGGCCTTCAGTTTGACACCCCTGATTTAGAAGAACGTTCACTAATTTGAATGTACACAATATGTAACATATAGGTTGGAAAAAGACTGAAAGTAAGATTTTATATAATCAAGGACATTTCTTTGCCATGCATATATAGGTTTGCGAATTATGAACAAAAACATTAAAAAACAATTAAAATTCCTAAGGGCCAGATCAGTTTTTGATGGAATGTCCAGGACATCTTCAGACAGTGTTGTCTATGTCTTCTACTCTCGGTAAAGTTTAAACTCTTGATTTAAGGAACTAATGACAGAAGTTACATTAAACAAAATGTAAAATGTTTCAATTCCTGCATGATGTTAAGTCACTTTTGTGAGGTGGGCAGCCATATAAATTGTCTAAAGTTCATAGTGGGGGGGCGGGGACGACGTAA